CTAAAACCAATGTCCAGAAGCTTAGTAACTATGTTTTCTTTGAAGTACTTTATGATTTTAGGTTTTACATTAAAGTCTTTAATGCATTTTGAGTTCATTTTTGTGTACAGTGTAAGATAGTGGTCTGCTTCATTCTTTTACATGTGGCTGTCCAGTTTTCCCAACTCCATTGAGGACAATTTCCTTTCTCCATTGTATGTTCTTCTTTTTTTTTTTTTTCATAAATCAGATGTCTATATATGTGTGGGTTTGTTTCTGGGCTATCAATTAAGTTTCATTGATCCAAGCATCTGTTTTTCTGACAGTACCATGCTGTTTTGGTGTTAGATATTATAGTTTGAACTCAGAGAATGTGATTCCTCTGATCTTGTTCATTTTTCTCCGAATCTCTTTGACTGTCTGGGTCTTTTGTAGTGCCACACAAATTTTAGGACTATTTGTCCTGTGCCTGTGAAAAATGTCTTTGGGATTTTTATAGGGATTGCATTGAATCTGTAGACTGCTTTAGGAAGTATGGTCACTTTAATAAATTAATAAAATTATAATAATTTTCCAACCTGTGAGCATGGAATATCTTTCTATTTCTTGTGTCTTTCATAATATCTTTCTATAATTTTATGTCTTATAATTTTCAATGTACCAGTGGTCTTGTACAACCTTTGTAAAATTTATTCCTAAGTTTAAAAAATGTGTTAAAATTAGATAGTGATGATAGTTGCACATCTTTGTGAATTTACTAATAACATTGATTTGTATACTTTGGGAGGGTGAAGTTTATGAGATGTGAATTACATCTCAAAGTTGTTATTTTTAAAATTTACCCATCATGTCTCTTTAGTTGCCTTCATTATGGAGCAGTTGTTCAGTCTTTTCTTAGCTTTTCTTGACATTTTTGAAAATTACACACCAGTTCTTTTGTAGATAGTTCCTCAGTTTTAGTCTGTCTGATCTGTCTTCATGATTACACTCAGATTATGCATCTTGGCCAGAAATATCACAGAATGGATACTGTGTTCTTATCATTGTATATTATCAAGTGGTACATTATTTTCATTTTTCCTATTACTGGTGATGCTCAATTTGATCACTTGATTAAGGTATTATATGTCAGGTTTATCTCCTATAAAGGTATTTTTCTTTTAAATAATTTTATTTTGTGAAAAGTTACTTTGAAAGGGTATAAATATTCCATTCTTTATCAAATATTTATTCATTTATGTATATCAGTATGAACCATGTTTTCATATTTAATTGTCCATGTTATGATACATTACTAAAATTCTTGTTTTGATGTCAAATTATCCCAGATTTGACCAATGGGAACCTTCAAACTGCTTCTGTGTTCTTTTGGTATACCCCCTTCATTCTTTGACCACTTCTTTACCCCCTGGTATAAGAAGATCCTCTAGTTTTATTGTTATTCTGCCTTCCTCAGACCTAGAACCAGCCATTTTCAAGAAGCCTGATTTCCCTTAGTGAAGAATGATATTTAGAGACCACAATTTGATCTCTAAAGTAAACTCACTGCTCTTTGGATGTCACTGTTCCCAAGCCCCTCTCAGTGGAATGGGCGAGAGAATATATGTATGATTATGTGTATATGCACACATGTTTATATCTATTATTTTCTGCATTATCTGTCCATCTGTCTGTTTATCTCTCTATTCATCCATCCATTTAATTGAAAGCCATGAATTTATGAGGATATTTTTACTTCAATCCAGCTGCATTGGTTTATTCTAGATTTTTTCCCTTTCCACATTTGTAATTCCCTTCTCTGAGATTAAGAAACCTGACTTCCATTATCCTTAAGATAGTTACCTATATGATCAAAGTGTTCTGTGAAACCAATCTTCCATCTACAACCACTGCCCTCTTCCTGTGTATGCCCTTCTCACACCACTCAAGTTCTAACTAACACCACCCCCCGCCCACTTCTTCTTGGATTTAACTAATGGGCTTGGACTGAATTGTTCATGAAGGGAAGGGGGAGGATAGAAGGAGGAGGAGAAAACAGTTTTTCTCTTGTGACTCATAATTTAGTGAATTATACTAATAGGTTTTTTCTAACACTGACTCATCCTTGGACCTTCATAATGTGCCCAGCTTTGATTTTTCTATTTTTTCATTTAAGATTCCTTGATAAGTTAATTTATTTTGATTACCTGACAAACCTTTAGAATGCTAGAAATTTTCTTAGACATTCCCTTAATTTCATTCTCTGATTTCTGTGGATGGAATACAAGGCTTTCTCTCAGCTTCTTTGCAGTCTTTCAGTGCCTTTGATTTTGGAAATGCTACCAGCACAACGACTGCATTTTCAGTGGTGGAAAGTTCTGATGTGTCTCAAAAGCAAGGAATCACTTCCCAGTGGTGATGTATGAGTCTCACAATAAACTACACTATTACTTAGAATGCTGTAATAAGTTTTTGTCATAGAAACAGAACAGAGGTTGCTAACATTTTTTGGAATTTCCAAACAAAAAGGAAAGAAAAATAATTCATCTAAACGCCTATTTGTCAGTCCAACATTGAAAGGGACCAGCCTTAAAAAATAAATAGTAAGTCAACCAGTACCAATACCGATATCCTTCATCTTCTTCGTAGCCAGCCTGACCCCAAAGAACTTCTTGGAGTAACAGAAGGTTAATTGAAAAGATAGATCTGCTTTGGAAAGCATTTGCATTTTAAGCAGAGATGGAATTTGGGGAAGTGCCATGTAAATATCTATCATTCCTACAAATCATAGTTATTGTTAGTGACCTGAAACCCTGAGCAGGTATTAATGGTTAAATAATGTCCATAGCTTTGTTTTCCAGGACTGCCTTTGTCCTCCATCCAGTTATCACCAGTACCTTGGCTTTTTTAGGTCTAAAGTACATAAGTTGCTTATATTTATTTGGGCAGTGTTTAAATTTGGAGGCAACCATCTTACAGGTATGATTTTCTTTCTCTGACAGAAAACAAATCCTTAATTCTTTATATATTTTATTATTTACACTTTCTTCCCTATATGCCACCAACCCTCCCACCATTTCTGTTTAAAGAAGATATTTATTATGTATGTATATTCCTCCAAAAAGATCTGTATGTGCCCATGTGTACTCATGCACATGTGTACACACACATATAAGCACATGCACTTCTGTATACTTTTTCTTGACTCAGTCCCTCCTGAAAAATCACTTGAGTATGACAACAGCTAATACAAAAGATGATACTTTTTGGTAATGAGGTTTAAATTTACTTTAACATAACCACTTGACCCTACGGGAATCTTGCCCCTGTGTGAATTGCACACTTTAGCTATGTCATTGTGTCTGGTAACCCACGTAGAGAGTAATTTGATTACCTAAAGAAATGTCTGAAAACAAAGAATAAATAGAATTTGTATTTTGGAAGCATGTTCATTCACACACTGGTAGGTCACATCCATTTCAGAAGTGAATCAACTGGGATATTGTTTGAACCTATGATTAGAACACTTATTCATTCATTCAACAAATATTTATTTATGGAGAGCCTTCCATATCCAGACACTGTGCTGGATGTATCAATCAGCAAAGACAGACATGATTCTTGCTAGTAAATTTAACAACTGGTTTCCCATAAACAAAAGCCTTGATTTTTTTAGTATTTTCCATTTTCTGATGTGTAAGTACTCCCACATTAGCAAATTTTAAGCTACCCATGTTCTGCATTGCCTTGTACATAGTAAGAGATTTTTTTCAGAAGTGGAGGGGGAGGGAAATAATGTGGGAAAGAAGAGAAAGGGTCATAAATGAAATGGATAAGGGACTCATAGACAAAGCCAAAGGGTGGTAGGATTGAAGGTGGGAGGTGGAGGTGGGCAGGGCAGGGGAAAGTGGTGGTGGGAAAATGGAGACAACTGTATTCAAACATTAATAAAAATATATAAAAAATAAATAGAATAAAAATACTTTTTAAAAAGTGCTAACTTTCTAGTGAAGGGGGTGGGGGTAAAATTCAACTTGATACCAATTGGATTACTTATTTTTGAATCTTCAGAATTGATCTTTCTTGTAAGAAATTCTTTTCTTTAATCAAGATGTTCTATTCTCAATTCCTGCACCTTTCCTCTGCACCTTTAAAAAGTGGAAATCATCATCATCATCTTCATTTCTTGATCATAATTATTACGAATAGGCTTGCTTTAAGAACACATTGAAAAGAAACTGGTGATCTATCATGAATTTGCTTGTGATATGTACTTCAGGGTGTATGTGTATAAAAGTGTCAGAGAGCTGAGATGGGTCTGAAAGGGTGTGCTAGATTTGGTATGGTTACCTTAGAAAGATGGGGAACTGACAGAAAGTTAGGCAACAAAGTGGTATTTTCCTTTTCCTCTTACTAAAAAGCTGTAAAGTTTGAAGAAAGAATTTGCATTGTTCCAGTTGAACAAGCATAGTTCTCACATGATGCTGGTCAAACAGTGACCAAATGCATAGTGGATACAAGGCAGTTATTTTGAGGGTCAGACACCAGACTGTATGAACCATTGTATATGATTGTAAATGATTGTTAAATTGTTCTCTTGGTGACAAGTGACTTAAACTACTGACAGAGGACAAAACAGAATTATAACACTTGATAAGTATTACGGTAGCTGTAGAACAAATCATCTCAAAACAATAGCTTAAGACAATGACAATGTTTATTTTGCTCACAGTTTTGTGCATTGGGTGGGGAGTGATGGGGACATTTTTTATCTGTCCTAAGTGGCATCGGGTAGGGTGGCTAGAAGGCTGAAGAAGAGTGACTGGTGGTGAATACTGGCTGTTGGCTGGGACCACCATGGGACTGTGGCTGGAACACCTACATGTGGCCCTTCTGTGTGGCTGCTTGCCTTGCCCCCACCATCGTGGCTGGGTTCCAAAGGCAAGTATCCCAAGAAAGAGCTAGGTGGAAGCTGTTATCAACTTTTATGACCTGACCTTGGAATCACACAGCATCGCTTTCTCTATATTCTTTTATTCAAGGTCATCAGAACTCATTGCCCAGGTCTAAGAAGAGAAACAGACTCTACCTCTTTAGGGGAAAGTAGCAAGTTCTGCAGGAATGTGTGGGACTGGAAATATGAACATGGCCATTTTGGGAAAATACAACCTGGCACAGTAAGTCCTCTTCCTCTCTGTCTGCACCACATATCCGCAGAGCAAATATGGAAAATTGGCCAGATCCTCTCAACTGCCCAGCCGAATGTGAGTATTTCAACTTCACCTTTACTCCAAAACCATGTTTGTGCATTGTGAAAGTTGTAATTCTTATTAACTAAATCCAAAAGAATTGTAATATAGGATTATATGTTCCATGCTTAGCACAGCCACATTCTTTAAAGTAATTTCTCTGTGTACTGTCAAGTTTATCTTAACCTAAAAAGGCAGATTAACAAATTACCTTTACTTTGTATGACTCAGGACATATTTCTTTTTCCTCTAAGCTTACTTCTCAAATTCAAAATAAAAAAGGCACAGAAAGGAGATTCATGAAAATGAATGTTTTGCAATGCAATTTCAAATATTCCTTTTAAATGTACATCGGTATCTTATTTGGTTGGTTGCCCCTCTGTTCTGTTGATGGTTTCCTTTGCTGTGCAGAAACTTTTTAGTTTGATGTAGTCCCATTTGTTTATTTTTGTTTTGTTTCCCTTGCCTTTGGGAACAAATTCACAAAAATGCCACTCACTGATGTCCAGAAGCCTTAGTGCCTGTTTTCTTCCATGTATTTTATTGTTTCAGGTCTTATATTTAAGTCTTTAATCCATTCATTCTGAGTTAATATTTGTGTGTAGTGTAAAGTAGTGGGACAGTTTTCCCAGAATTATTTATTAAAGAGACTTTTCTTTCTTTATTTTATATTCTTGGCTACTTCACTGTAAAATTAGTCTGGGCTCTTAATTCTGTTCCATTTGTCTGCCTGTCTTTTTTTCTGCCAGTACCATATTGTTTTGATTACTATATCTTTGTAGTACAGTTTGCAATCAGGGAGTGTGCTACTTTCAGCTTTGTTCCTTTTTCCCCCAATTGCTTTGGCTCTTTGGGGTCTTTCATGGGTCTATAAAAATTTTAGTATTCTTTTTCTGTGGAAAAAAAAATACCATTTGGGATAGGGATTTCACTGAATCTGCAAAGTGCTTTAGGCAATATGGACATTTTAACAATATTAATTCTTCCAATTCATAAACACAGAATGTCTTGTTTTCAAAGTACATGTCTTTCATTTCCTTTGTTAAGTTTATTCCTAGCTATTTTATTCTTTTGATGCAATTGTAAATTGGATAGTTTTCTTCATTTCATTTTCAGATAGTTTTTTATCAGTGTATGAAAATACCACAGATTTTTGTATACTGATTTTGTATCCTGAAACTTTACTGTATTTGTTTACTATTTAAAGAAGTTTTTGGTGGAGTCTGAAAGGTTTTCTATATATAAAATTATGCAACCTGCAAATAGTCACAGTCTTTCCAATTGGGATGCTAACTAGTTGTTGGTGCTAGAGAGAATCATTTTCCTTTTACTTAAGACATTAGCATGTTAAAATCTAGGGGATATTTTAAAGATGTCCAGCAAAACTTTGGCTGTCCTATACAAATTTTATTCTACCTTTAGGTCTAGAGTTCTGCTTTGTAATCCCTCTGTCTGATGATTATGGGATGTTCTTAGACACTTCCTGCCCCTTTACTTTGACCTTAAAACAGCAGCCTTTAAGCTAACTTAAGTGTTCTTCATGTCATAGATGGATAAGTTGCTTACTGCTCAGCACAGTATAGGATTATTTGGGGATCAGACTGACAGTAGTTCAAGTCTTGGTCCTACCATCCCTTCATTTTGAGACTGGTCAAGTTACTCCACATCTTTGAGCCTTATTTATTCATTCAAGTTGTTCAAAAGATGATCAGTGTAAGTGAGGTTTGCACATCTAGAATGAGCTGGCACTGGCCTGGATGCTAAATAAAACAGACATAGTTCCTGCTCTGAAAGATCTCAGCTCCTGGTAGTTCACGAGAATGAATTACCCATTACAATCCAGAGGATGAGTTGTCTGATGGGGATAACCCAGGCTTAGAAATGGGGCGCACTGTGCAGGCGGACCTTTTGGACAAGTTACATCAAATCTGAGATATGAAGAATGACTAGGAGTATTCAGACAGTTAAGAGTAACCCTGTTGAGGTCATGGCTACACACAAACTCTTTTCTTAAATAGCATTACATATATTGGATACATAGGTTCAAGGTCATGACTAGCTGCACATTTGTATGTGACTAATGTTAAACGATAATGCTTAAGCTGTCAGTTTGGTTATAACACATGTCTTGTAAGCAACTTTCATATGTAGGTAATGTTTGTAAGAATAAACCCCAACTACCTCCTCAATTTGTGTCTTCTAAAATAGGCCCCGCAAATCCAACTTATTTGCATTTGGGGCAGATTGCACACTTGTATCTCATCTACCAAAGAAGAGAAAAAATGTAATTTTAGTTTCAAGTGTGCATTTCAATGACACTGTAAATTTATATTCACAAAAGCCTGACATAATAGAATATTACAGCCAAACAAAGTTTGATACTGTGGACCAAATGATAGGTACACATAATGTGTCCAGGAACACCAGAAGATGACCTATGGTTATATTCTACACAATTTTGAATACCGCAGGAATAAATGCTCAGGCTATTCATATGCTGAACAGCACTGTGAAAATAAGGTACAGAATGTTTATTAGAAATCTTGTAACACAGTTAGTGTCAGAACAAACAAAAAGGTGTTCAGAAATCTCTGCAGGTGTGCATAAGCCTGACACCTGAAACTTCATCAATTTTAAACATAAATTGAAGGAAAGTCTAATCCACAGATATGGCTTCCTCAACAAGCAGAAAAAGGAAAAGATGTTAGGTACTATGCATCCAAAATGAGTTGCTTATCAAAATATTTTTGCAAGTGTTGTGAAAAGTACTTCTGCCTTGAGCACAGCAAGATTGTGAAGACTGTTAGAAGTGCTTTGCAAAGCCAGCTATTGAAGATTCTGATTAATGTTAAAGATATTTTTGGGTTGTATTTTTTAGCAATATCCATGTTTGCATTATTTGAAAAGAAAGACTTATTTTTTATGTTTTAATATTTCTTTGTTTAATAGTTTCTAGATTATAACTGAAACAAGAAATCATGTATTTTATTATATAAATATAATGAATGCCAATTTGCAGAGTTTTTAATTTTTTTCACATTTCAGCACATACTAGTAATGAGTGTATCTCTCAGACACATGCAAACTACACTGTAATTTTTTTGACTGTGATCTCTGCAGGGTTAACTACTAGTGCCTTCACTTTCTTCCCGTACAATGGGGACACATCTACCTTGTAGAGTTGTAGTGATATACAGAGACAATGAATATAACAACATCAGGACTCTCCTTCACAGTTCAGTGTTGAGCCAGAAAACATGTATTGAGTGAATACCATCCTAGGCAATGGGGATTCAGGAATGAGTATAATGTCATCCCTATCCTCCTGCATCTTAGAGGCCAGATGTCTAGCTCTAGCTCTGTCTCCTCAGGCTACCTCTGTTATTGCTCTTGTCCCACTGTGTTGCACTTGCCCATTCACATCTGAATCTTGAGACCACCAGCTAGTGAGGCCAGGAATGCTTCTCTCTGGTTCACTGTTGTATCTTGAACACTTAGCAGTTCTTGGTGTGTGGAGACCTTTGTCTTTCATCTTATCCCCTGCAGCAGATGCCCTTGATCCCCTGCCATACACTCTGTCCCTTACCTTTATCCCTTATCTTTTCAGCTTACAACTGCCCAACTTTCAACCACCAGTTACCACATTCATCTCCCTGATGGTTTGCTCTGGCTGCTGAAGCCCACTCAGCTCACACTGAGGGAGAAAGGCTGAGAGTCGGGGGAATTAAGCCACACCCAGCTGCACTCAGCTGTGGGGGATACAGTGGTGCATAATAGCCCAGCTCCTAGGCCTGGGTGGGATGACTCTGAGACACGTGGTCTAGTTACCTCATAGCAATAACTTGATTGATCATTTATGCTCCATTGTCTGTCATCCCTTTCTTATCTTACTTCCCTTACTTCCATACCAGGTAGACTCCCAAATAAACCACATATAGTTGTGGTTTATGTGTTTTTTTTTTTAAAGATTTTATTTATTTATTTTTTAGAGTGTGGGGAAGGGAAGGAGACAGAGAGAAAGAAAAACATCAATGTGTGGTTGCCCCTCATGTGTCCCCAACTGGAGACCTGGCCTGCAACCCAGGCATGTGTCCTGACTGGGAATCGAACTGGCAACCCTTTGGTTTGCAGGCCCGTGCTCAATCCACTGAGCTACACCATCTAGGGTGTTTATGTGGTTTTGTTACACACAAAACAAAATGTCCACTCAGCATCCAAATCCATCTCCCATATTTAGGGAATTCTGCTACCTATAAAGAGTGCATCTTCCATGATAAGAACTGAAAAAGTGAGATGCAGGTACAGCCAAGGGTGGACCTATGACCTTGGCTTTGTCAAACAGATGCACCCATTCTATTTTCTAAAGTGGAAACTAATGTCATGAAGAAGTGGGAAATGCCCAGAATTGATTCTGTTGACAGATGGTACAGAGACAACTTGAATGGCAACTGTCAGCATCTAGTGTTGGTGGAAGATGTGGTATGACCAAAACCCTCAAGCACACATCCACCCAAAAGTGTACTTGGAAGGTTTTGAGCCCTGCTCCTTCCCTTGTGGTCTCAGAACATGCATGGCTCTTTGGACCTATCAGAGAATCTTTGATTTTCCCAATCTTTCTGATAAATTTCTTTCCTGTCAATGTCAAGGTTGGTGTTTTTAGCTTGTAACTAAGAATGCTGTCTGTCTTTGTCAGTCAGGATAGAGCCAGAAAAACAGTCCTCTAGGTCTTTCAGACAGATGGAATTTAATAGAGATAATGCGTTAAAGGGGCATGGAAAATCTAGACACTCAAATGGGGAGCAATGAGTTACCTCACAGACTAGTAGCAGCTAGAAGCTACCATTGCTCCTAGGGCTGGAGGGACAGTGGAGGAGGAGAGCCCACTGTCTTTCAGGAGCTGGAACCACAGTAAGGGCTGCCTGGACTGATGACCAGTGGGGTCCAAGACCTGAAGATCCACAAGAAGGATGGAAGAAAGAGGA